CCAGATAATGTTGATGACGACGAAGATATCTATGCGTGTTGTATTGATCTGGGGCTCAATGCGATGATTTCGACATCCGTGCTGTCGATCCGAACTCACGTCGCTGAATCCTACGCGAATGATTCCTTCTATGCAGGAATCATCAATTATCTCGGGGACCCGAGCGAAAATTTACTCGCGAAGTTGACGAAACCGATATGCGATAACATCAAGCGTTACGCGCTTGACGGTCCGTTGATGACGTACATGATGGACGTCTTTGATTCCCCGCGTGTGGTCATCCCTGCTGATGACGACCTTCCGAGCCCAATTGGTTCATGAATTTCACGACAGCACAGCTGGCGGACGCCTGGGTTGCGAAAAGACGTTTGCGGCTATTTCTCGCATATTTTTCTGGTTGCGAATGTATAGAACATCCATTAATGGGTGCGCTCCTGTGAAACCTGTCAGTGTGTGTGAAGCCCGCGCCGTCTTCACAAGCCCCATTGCGTCCGCTTCCGATTGTTACCGAAGCCTGGTGTGGTGAAGTGCTTGTTAGAAATATGGAGACCCCAGAAGCCAAGTGAAAATACGGGCATAGACCGTGTATCAGATTAATGAGACCAAATAAACAGGGGACTCGAGAGGAAGCGACCGTTGATGGAGAACAATCTGCAGGACCCACAAAAGAGAAATCAGTATCAGGGTACCGGTTAATCGGCACCGAAAGGAGTCGACCATGGTCCCAGTTGAAATGCCCGGTCCCTAATCGGTAGAAACGGTCCCTAATCGGTAGAACCGGTCCCTCATTGGTCGACCCGGTCCCTCTTGGTCGACCCGGTCCCTCATCGGTATACCTGAGTCCCTCGTCGGTCGACCTGGGTCCCTCATTGGTCGACCCGGTCCCTCTTCGGTCGATCCGGGTCCCTCGGGGTTCAGCCACTCCGCACCAGTTAACACAAGTATCAGACTAGTCGACGCAAGGAATCAGAGCTTCAGGCAAGGATAGAGTAAAGGAGTTAAAAGGATAGGACTATATTAAATACTACTCAATTTGCGATCTACGTGGCACGACTCCGTCACCTAAGAAGAACTTGCTCTAAGCTACCACCTGTTCCGGAAAGAAATATCTTCTGGCCCCCGTCGAAGACAGTTGTGTAGCGAAGTTCAAGTGCGAATAGAGCTCCAGGATATATTTGGCCTGTAACCTCTTTCGAGTAGCAACACCCCCAAGACCCGCTATCGGAAGCGGTCTCCCTTACCTCACGGTACGGGAGCAAAGAAAAGGTCAGGTGGTTGATACCCCTGAAACACGAAGGAAAAGGCCAGGGACGACAAGCGCCCCTGAAGAATTTGGCTCTAAGTCCACTCTCGACAAGGTCGATCGAGTGGCCACCTACCGGCTCACCATGTGAAGCATATTTACTCGAGGCCCCCCAGGTCTAACTCCCTCAAGACAGACGTCTACATCGTCACCAAGTCCTCCGAAGAGTGCAACCCGCCAGCCGACGGGTACACAAGGTGATAGAAGGTCCATACGCGGCATCGGGGTACCCCCTCCGACAGTCTGCAGTCCAGCACAGTAAATAGTTTGGGGTCTCATCATACAATTCTGAGTACCCACTCCACCACACTGGCGTTCGGTCAGCATAAATTTTATCTTTGGACTTCCACCGGATGAACAGAAACGCACGGGCGTATTGGTACTAGTGGATCAAAATCGCAAAATGGTGTATTTGGTCAGGTCACCGCCAACATTACGGCAGAGATGACAGCAAAGATCTTCATTGGCCTTATCTTCAGGCATCACGGCTTGACAGAATCTATTGTTTCAGATCGTGCCCCGCGTTTCACTACGGCTTTTTGGGCCGAATTATTCCAGCTATTAGGCACGGCAGCCCCCCAGAGACAAATGAGCAAACGGAGCATGTGAACAGAGTGCTTGAAGATGTCTTGCGCAGTTATGCAACATCGTTCTCGTCGTGGAGCTCGTTTCTTCCACTTGCAGAGCTTGCAAACAACAATGGTGCCCATGCGTCAACCGGGTGGACGCCCTGTTGCGTTAACAACGCGAGGCATCCTCACGTTCCGGCGCTTCTTGCTCTCTCAGCTTCAGAGCACCCAGACCCAAAGCTAGGTGGGGGAGTATCTACGGATAAAATTGCGCCAAAACTTTTGATGACTGATTGCGATATAGGCAAGGTTGCTGCCGACGCAACTTATGCTGGTAACTTTGTGACCAACGGCATATCGACTCCTGACGCGATGCATACCATCGCGTCTCCCGTAGCTAATTTTGCCCCAATGGGGACTCGTCGCCAGTAAGTTCAGCTGCAGTAACCGAATCGCTACTATTACGACAAGGAATCACGCGTTTTGTGCGTGATGCATTACAAGAGGCAGTCGACAAGCAAAAAGAGAATGCAGACAGAAGAGGTCGAAAGAATATGCTGACATTTCGAGAAGGTGACAGAGTATTATTATGAACAAGTAGATTACAGAACACCTCAGTGACGAATTTGGGCGCTAATAAGTTATCTCCAAAATATATTGGCCCATTTCGGATTGTTAAGGTGCATGGTGACGCTTACACGCTAGACATACCTACGTCTATGCGTTTGAACCCGACGTTCTACGTTGGGCGCCTCAAGGCTTACCTACCGGCGGATTTCCCTTCGAATATTCCCGCTCTTCTGTGCCGGCTTCAAATCCGACATCCCTTGACGACGACGTTGACGACGACTGGGTCAAAGTCCTGCCCGAACGCGTGCAGACTAGATCTTCTGGGGTCCTCCGAACGCAGTCATATTAAGTTGACGTCGGCGTTTGACGTAGGCGTTCAACCAGTACCAGCTTCTCACGTCGAGTCTGCTCAGCAGTCTCAGTCGCAGCATCCGCACGATCTTGAGCTTTCTCAGCCATCTCGCGAGCATCAAGTAGGACATTCTCCGACTCCTCGGCTTCAGCGCGAAGTGGGCGAAGCTCGTCATTAGACGGTACAGGAGCCCGACTGCGAGAATCGGCGCTCATCGCCATAGGTCTTTCGTCGTGATGCTCCTCCGCCCTTAATTGATGCATCGGGTGCGCGACGCTGGATTGTCGACCTTATTGTCGATCACGAGGACCACAATCCCCAGGCGCCGAGTAATAACTCGGCGCCCACGAAGAACCATGTCGAGAAACATTACAGGGTTCGTTGGTTGGGATATTCCTCGGTGAACGATACATTGGAGCCATCGAGTACGCTGTCCCAAGATGTCCCGGACGTGTTCGAGGACTATAAATCCCGTAGAAATACGGTGATCGTGATCGACGCTGCCGGTTCCATCTCCGATCTCGCGAGCCGTAATGCTCGCGAGCAACGAAACCACGACGACCTCCCGAGCGACTCCGAGAGCAAGACCTATTACGAGGCTAGGAAGCATATGGATGATATTTATGACGACCTCGGCTACGTGAACGCCCAAGGCGATCTTAAGGACGCAATCTCACTCGCCGTAGCTCGGACACCTGGAGCTGTGAAAGGCTTCTCTTATAACGGGCAATCCATGGACGAATATGATCGGGCATGTCTCGCGTACACACCAAGTCGTCCCATTCCTGCCGGACCGGTCGCAATCTGCCCATGTTGCACGTTGGACATCCCTCACGAACATGGACGTAACAAAGGTGATACTTGTCACAAGTCATACGACAGATGCGCCGGCGCAGGTCGCCAATAGCGTGTCTATCACGCATTCCTTTGCGACCATCTAACCAGGACGTGAAGGACATTTCTTCACGTCGACTAGCGTTCCAGCGTCTGATAAAGGCACACCAAGACCTCTGCAGCGCATCGTCGGTATACGCGTTGCTCGTTGCTTTGCCTCTCACTGTACGGTATCGCGTGAAGAGGTCCTTCACGACCTCCAGTGGCTCGGGTTCGACAGCACCTTCAAGACCATACAAGCGCCACGGTTTCAAGTCCCCATCCATGACCTGCGGCGCGTGTTCTCTTCGGATCGTTGCTTGGTGTCCCCATTTCTGGTTGTCAGAGACATTGTTTCGTGGACGCCCAGGGTCCATGCTGATCAGTTATGTCTAACTGAGCAGGTTCGAAGTTACGTCGCTGGTCGAGAAGAAACTTTCTGCGTTTCGCGCTTACGTTAAGGTAAGCGCAATTTAAAGAAGGGGGGTGATGGAATGGGGCAACCTATTACATAAGTAGTTATAGGCGTAATACATAATTACATAAGTAGGCATAGGGCAGTATCCGATTAGCGGATACTGCGTGTCATTTTATTATTGGTTTTTTTATTGGGGTGCCAGACCCAATAATTAGCCAATAATAAACTGACTTCCATATTGAGTGGTTTCCATGAGCTAGGGAACATATTCGCACTTAATGCGAATTAAACAAAAATAAAAACAGAGTTATATTTACGAGTTAATGATGAGCGCTTTCTCAACGCCCTTTTAGTGTAAGACAGTAACGGGTCTTTAGCCCATTACAGGAGGTCTAAAGTACCACGTAACTTTTTCAGACCTATCATATGCTTAACGAACTCGTGTAGTTATTGGCCCGTTACATCGGCAACTTTTCCCTTGGACTCAACGCTTTGACCTTAACTTAAAGTTTGACGACGGAACCATCTTGCCTATGCTTCCGGAAGATATGCTCGTTGAAAATGTATTCGCCAAACATTACAATGCCCTTAATGCCTTAAAGAAAGCCTCTCACGAGCACGGATTCTCCGTCAAGAAATAAGAAAACGAACAGAGCCAAATCAGCCGAGCCCAAGAATGTTTGGCTCTTCATTACCTATTACATTGGTTGCGCTCGTGCACTGAAACTAGACAGTCGTTTAAAGGACGGGGCGAAGCCGAAACGAAAGCACCGCTATCTGTTGACAAGTTGCAGGTGGAGCGCAACTATTAAGAATGATGCGCCTGGTAATACTGGCTACCTCATTATCGCTTTTGCTGGGGAGCATAATCATCCCGCTGCGCTTAAATTACAATCTTTTCCAATTGCCCGTAGAATGAGCAAGGAGAAGCCTGAAAATTCGAAGCGATTACTGAGAACTGGCTTGAAGCCGTCATCTGTCTTAGACGTGATTCGAAGTGACCTTGCAGATGAGATCTGTCTAGTGGCTGAGAGGGATATAGTAAACATTCAACAGTCTGAGTGCGTACAAGAATTAGATGGACTGACGGAATTGGAAGCTCTTAAGAGAAATTTGAATGCGTACGACGCAAAGGTTCAGACTCGAGTAGACGGCGACGGGCATTTAACCCACCTGCGGATCATCCCTCACACGATTCTCGAGCTACTTAAAATGAAATGGCGAACGACTGTGGTGAAGTCAGAAGAAAACTACCGCACAAATGTCCATTGCGATGGAATGCTGCATATCATCAGTTCCTACAAATACCAATCGAGCGTCACCTTAGCCTACTTCTATGTGCGCATTACCACAGAGAAGAATTTAACCTGAATTTTCAGTCGGTGTTGGATTTCAGCGGACACAGATGTAGCAATTGGAACGCTATGAATAAAGTTTTCCCGAAGTACCCCCATCTTCTTTACTACATGCATATTCAGGAAAATATACGAAAACACCATAGAGGAAGTTTTCCTAGCAAAGAGCAAGTTGAAGATGCTGCACTTGTGGGAGTGGATCTAAACACTTGGGACACCTTTGTGGAAAACTTTGCAAATTTGTGCCTGCGAACATTTACCGAGGAAGACCTATACAAAATATGGACCGCAAATGAAGAAGCGCGTCGCGGAAGAATGTGCCAAGTATGCACAAAATATTTGGTTTAATACTGTCAAGGAGAGATTTTGAGCCCCCTGGTTCACTCACGTATTCCAATTTGGTCAACTGACGACTTCATAGTGTAGTGGGCTCACGCCGCGTTAAAAAAAGAATAAGCCTCCTCCCAAAAGTCGCTGTGTATGATCTACAAGCCAATCGAGAAAGTGGCGGCCAAGTAATTGGATAAATGCCAAAAAGCGCGGTCGGATGACTTGTGAGCCGCGCAGATGCGCCCTCCTCAGATTTTTAGCGACCCTGTGTGTACAATTTCCCTCAACGCTTTAACACCCTTTAAATGCAACTGGGCATTGCAAAAAGTAAATTCAAGAAGAAATAAGAGTTGGTCCCAGGACGTTACCAAAAGCCGCTTTGTGACGGTTTGTATTTATAGGGTCATTAGTTACATGGGTTCTCACCATTTATTTAATTTGGCTGAGAAGAATGGTGAAGAGGATGCACGAGTGGATCCTACCACCATTCACGTTTTTTGGTTCCTGGACAAAACATAAAAACCACTTTCCAACCGCAAAAGCTCGACAATAAAACCTTTGCAGAACAAAGGCAAAACAAAACCGTAAAGGCACGCTGACCCACTGTACCTGATAATAACGGGAAGAAGGTACCGAAAAGGCGTGGAATGCAGATGTGCCATGTTTGTAGGAAGTATGTTCGACATAACATTGCAACGTGTCACCAGAAACATCCCAAAAAAGCTGCTGTAAGGGAAGTTGGGGTACCAACACGGCGTCTGACGCCAATGCGAGAAGAAATTCGTGAAATTTTTACCGCCTCAGCCAGCGCTTCACCAGGAAGCTCACCCTCACCCACCGCCGCAACTTGAGCAGCTTCATTGCCCTGTAATGCGGTCCCAGGCACCGCAGCTGCAGATTAAAGAGTGCCACTATCCCGCAATGCAGTCTCAGATGCATTATGGTGAGTCGCTGCTTTCAATGCAGCAGTACAGTCAGTTGCAGGCACCATTGATGCAGCACGGTCATTGCAGCCTTTAATGCAGCAATACGGCCAGTTGCAGACATCGATGTAGCACGGTCGTTGCAGTCCTTTAATGCAGCAATACGGCCAGTTGCAGACATCGATGCAGCAATACGGCAGTTGCAGACATCGATGCAGCAATACGGCCAGTTGCAGACATCGATGCAGCAATACGGCCAGTTGCAGACATCGATGCAGCAATACGGCCAGTTGCAGACATCGATGCAGCAATACGGCCAGTTGCAGACATCGATGCAGCAATACGGCCAGTTGCAGACATCGATGCAGCAATACGGCCAGTTGCAGACATCGATGCAGCAATACGGCAGTTGCAGACATCGATGCAGCAATACGGCCAGTTGCAGACATCGATGCAGCAATACGGCCAGTTGCAGACATCGATGCAGCAATACGGCCAGTTGCAGACATCGATGCAGCAATACGGCCAGTTGCAGACATCGATGCAGCAATACGGCCAGTTGCAGACATCGATGCAGCAATACGGCCAGTTGCAGACATCGATGCAGCAATACGGCCAGTTGCAGACATCGATGCAGCAATACGGCCAGTTGCAGACATCGATGCAGCAATACGGCCAGTTGCAGACATCGATGCAGCAATACGGCCAGTTGCAGACATCGATGCAGCAATACGGCCAGTTGCAGACATCGATGCAGCAATACGGCCAGTTGCAGACATCGATGCAGCAATACGGCCAGTTGCAGACATCGATGCAGCAATACGGCCAGTTGCAGACATCGATGCAGCAATACGGCCAGTTGCAGACATCAATGCAGCAATACGGCCAGTTGCAGACATCGATGCAGCAATACGGCCAGTTGCAGACATCGATGCAGCAGTGTGACAAGCCGCGCCTTTTCGTGCAGCTTCCCCACCCAGACATGAGTTTACTTCATGGACAGCAAGCACCGAGCCAGGAAGAGATAGTGTATCTATTTGTATTTCCTTGTTGCTGACGGATGGGTAATGTGTGCACTGGGACAAGATACGATAATTCTCGTGGCTCAAGACCACTAATATTCAGGTTGGAAACATCATTCCTCATTTTGCTCGCCTCTTTTTCATCTCTTTTTAGCTGGCCTCACCACATGCTGGCAGACAAGCTGGAAGCTGCTACAGGTCTGACACGCGCGACTCAGGATTTTAATCGACCTCAATGTATTGTAAAAAGCACACTTCATACTACGATAGCATGCTCGTCGGGATCAAATTAGTTTTCATCATCCGCAAGTGTCGTAATGTTAGCACTAGGCGACGCGAGCATCTGCCCATGCAATTCCTGGCTGCATACAGGATGGGGAGCGCGCATGGTCAAGATTCTTGGGTGCTGCATTGAGTTCGAGGTCATTTATGGTAGGAAGCCACTGGGTAAATGAAAATAAAACAATCAAGTAGAATTTCATCCAGCTTATCTGCCCTTGCGACGTCGTGCTAGTGTGGCCGATTGTGAAGTCAAAGGAGCTTTTAGCTCACCCTCGCCTGAGTCTGGCTCTCCATTATGGATTGTCAAGACTTCAGACGTAGGGTTAACAGAGGCGGGTGATTTATAATCGACGACCTGCTGTTGTGCCGCGGCTGTTTCTTTCGAAGCAGCGCGCTCATTGGCGCAGATGACGAAGCATGACCCTCACTGTCAGGAAGCATGGAAGAATCCTGAAAATTGAGTATGTAACGGGGCTAGAACGTACCGTCACTAGCTTACACGCGCGCTCGAGGAAGACTCAAGCCCAAGTATTAGGTATTAAGTAAATTTAACTCTGATTTTATTTTGGTTTTAATTCGTACTAATTACGAATATTTTAGTCGTAATAAATACGACAGTGTTCCCGCCTTTCGGGAACCACACAATTTCAGGTTGATTTATCATTGGTCCATATTGGGGACTTAAGGCCCAATAATAAACCAATAATAAATTACCACGCTGTGCCCGCTATTCGGGCCCAGCACCTGCCACCATATGTAATTGTTTGTTTATGTTAATGGTATATGTGTAATGTAGCCCATTACATCACCCCCTTCTCACGACAGCACTCACCAACCGTGAGTGCTCAGCTGTCGAAAACCCTTTGCAATGTCCGGAGACCCAACACCCAATCCAGCAGAACGCCCAAGATACATCAGCGGGAATGCATCAACCAGCATCATGGCGCGGCAGCTCATACCTTGGTCGCTGTACGACTTGTCCGGAGCTCACGCTCCGGACTCGCTGGACATGATGCGGGACTACTTCCGCCGATTTCGAAAACTGCGCGGAAAAGGTCTTGATGGAATCGAGCATGAAGCTCTACAACGTTCTTGGTGTGCCTTCATCCAACGTTGGAATCGGATGCTCGAGGATGGTAGCAGCTTCCAATTATGGCTCGCCAATCGAGAGGAGCTTCGCGCCGATCACTCCATCGGCGCGCTACGCGAAAGAGTGCGTGAGGATGCTTGAAATGAGGACCGTCTCTGCTTCGTCCATGTCAGTCTTGTGACTCGACTCCACGCCCAACTCATGACGAATGGCGACGACACATCGCTGAGTGTCCACTCAGCGATCGCGAACGAAGTTATATTGCAAAGTATGAGCGAAGTCTGAGCGAACGGAGAAGCGCAGTTATTCGTGGTGCGCCCCGCTGGCGGCACCACTCGCGACAGCGGAGTCAATCTCCGCGGGATCATCAGCGCAGGGCAGCGACACGTTCGCCTGCCCGTCCAGTTGCGCGATTCTCGCCTAGCAATCGTGATATGTATTCACCGCGACATTCTCGATCACGGCATCGATCTCGTTCGCGACATCGTTTGCGTTCGCGACATCGTTCTCGTTCGCGTCATCGTTCCCGTTCCCGACGACGTGGATCTCCTTACCACTCTCGTTTGTCACGAGAGCGTTCGCGTGCTCGCCCGCCTTGGAATAGTCCGACTTCGTGGCTTCATACGACAGAACCACATCTGGAACGTCACGAAGGAGCGAGGAACGTGGTTCCCATGTATCCTGCTCGGGAGGGAATCCAAGCCAACGTACTCGGTACCTGCGCACGGATGGAACCGCACGCTTCTCATGAGCCGACTGCAGTAATGGTTGTGGAGGGTCCTCGTGACCCACAATGCGGTCTACAATCCAGCGCACCTGTCCCTCCGCATCAACAAGCGGAGGAGGGCCCTCGCGATGGTAGTGCTGGCGTCCTGGTTGCTCAGGACGATGTTGATCAGGCCGTGAATATAGCTGCCGATGCTCGGCTGGAGGCTGAGGCTGCCAGTGAACGTGCTGCCCAGGCGGAGAAGACTTCGAGTGAGACCCGGCAGTCGAACCGTGAACTGCTCGAACGGATAAGGGTTCTGGAGCGCCAGGTGCTTGGTCAGGTTCAGACGGGATCGAGACCCCGCCCCATGTCATCGGCGCGTCGAGCACGACGGGAAGGCCGTTCGACTTACGAACCCCTGAAGCCGGCGTCGGAGCCAAACCGTGAAGCGTAGCCGGACGATATTCCTTCAGCCGCCCGACATAGAATGTCGGGTGGAGTCGCAGTGAAGAGGGGACGTCGAGTGTATAAGCGTCGCCAATTGCCTTCAGAACCTTGAATGGACCGATGAAGCGTGGCGCGAGTTTACTCGCGCCCAGATTAGTGACCGCAGAATCCCTTAAACCTTCCGTAGATAATAATACACGGTCACCTTTCTCAAACTTGCTCATGTTCTTTCTTCCATGTTTGTCAGCGTTCTCCTTCTGTTGGTCTACCGCAGATTGTAGTGCGTCGCGTACAAACCGGGTGATGGCTTGACGTTGGAGTATAAATTCCGACACAGCCATGTCATCAATTGGTCGCGCCGACTCAATCGGCGCGTAGTTGGCAGTAGGTGAACGCTTACCCGAAGACGGGTCAATCAATGTCTGCGCAGTCCATCGAGCTAATGGGGACGCCACGTCTGATGGCGTCAAAGTGGCCGTCTTTGCCTTGGATCGTGTTACTGCATTCGCGCTCAAAATACCGTGAGCTGCACTCG